GTAGTATGGCATGGGATCCATAGAAACTGGACATTGTGGGTAGACATTGGCCATCACAATGCTCGTCTCTCCTTCTGTATTTTTTAGTGAACATGATTTGTGGTTTTTTGGCCATTGTTTGCTGAGCAGTAGTACTAGTAACTTTTCCACTCTTCGGCCCATTTTCGATCCGTTCACCAATGACCACCATATCAGCAAAGTTTGAAGATGAACTGTCAACCATCTTTTCAAAATATAAGCCTTGGAGAGTGCCCATGAATATGTCAACTAACTCTATATCAGTAAGTGCAAGCCAAACACGGGAAGCCATCTCACGCCACCTCTGAGTGTATTCTTTAAATAATTCACTGGCTTTCTGAGCTTGATTTTGTAGTTGCAACCTGGTAGGAGCCATATCCAAGTTATACTTGTATTGCTTTAAGAATTCTTCAGAAAAATCCCTCTAGGTTCTGATCTTTCCTTGCTCAGGACTCATGTACCAATCCAGGGAAGCCCCATATAGACTATCCTGGAAACAGTGGATAAGTAGATCATCATTGTCTATATAGGAAGCCATCTTCCTATAATACATTGTGATATGGCTTCACGGACAACTCAACCCTTTGTATTTAGGCAAGTCAGGCACCTTGAATATTTGGGGTAGAATAGCGTTTGGAACCAAACACAACTCCTTGGCATCCATGCCATAAGCAGAGAAACCCTCAATTACTTTAATTCTTTCATCCAACAACTTATAATCTGTAGGCTTAATATGCCTAGAACCATGGATAATCTGATTGGGAGGTCTGAGATAAGTCTGGGGATTCGAAAGCTAAGCAAACTGAGAAGCTGTCTGAGCATGCACCGGTGGAGAAGCAAACTAGGGAGATATTTGAGGATGATATACCATTCTAGAATTGACCATCTGACTAGAAGTTTGATCAAACTTGCCCTATACGGAGCATAAGGTGCCCCAGGGTATCCAGGATGAGGTATAATAGCAGCAACAGATGCCCCAAGATGGACAAGAGGAATTCCAAAATTGACAGGTGGAAAACATTAGTATGGATCTTGAATAGTTGGCTGGGAAGTCTGAGGTAGAATCTGAAAGTGGATAGGAGAGCCTCTATACTCGGGCTTATTTTCATTAGGATTTTCAACATTAACTGGCACATAATTCTGACGAGTCTGACCTTGAGGAATCTTATGATTATCAGTATCAACCACTTGAGGCGAGAAGTGAGTAGGCATACCCCGTGGGAAGGAATCTGAGTTCTTATTGGCTGAAGGCATAACAAATGGCTGGTAGAGCACAAAAGCATTCCTATTAGCAATCCGGGGAGTATAGTTTGGAGGCATTCCCACAGGTAGGCAGTATCATGCCCACTTAGACTAGGCCGAGAGCTTGGATGGTTAACAACGGGTTGAATCATAACCTCTATCAGAGTTTCAACAACAACAAGAGTAGTGTCAGCAGCAATAGTAACAACGGTATCATCAGTAGTAATGGCAACAACGGGGGTACTCTTTTGGTCAAGAAGGTATTCTAGGACTATGTTCATCTGGCCTTGAAACTGAGCCAAGGTTTCCTTGTAAGTTGCATTCTCTTGTTCAATACTTTCCATAATATTTTGCTTGTTAGCCGTTGTAAGGTATCGATTCCGGAGAGTCGTCGTCTTTCTGGCTGAGGAAAGGAAGAAGGTGAGCTTTTTTTTTTGTTTGTATGCATGCAATGAAAATGTATGAATGTACAAATGAGTACATGAATGGATTCCAAGCATAAAGGTTCATAAGTATGAGGTATGGATGGAGGATAATACTGATTTCTTTTTGAACAGGGATCTCACCATATATGGTTTAGGTTTTATAGGAACTCCAAAGTCATGGACTCGCACGACTGTTTGTCACATACGACAGAAGCATGTCGGTTGGCAACTCTATCATATGAATATATTCTAGGTGAGGTCTTCATATCGACCCTCGCGAAAATATATTCTCGGGGGCCCATACTACGTGACCATCACATTGGGTTCTAGACAAGGGTCTCAGAGTCATGGACTTCCTTGAGTGTTTGTTGCGTATGTCAGTCATTGCCAGACAACAACTCCATCAAGAAAATCTATTCTTAGTGAGGTCTTTATACCGACCCACGCGAGAAAAGCTTCTTGGGGACCCGCACTACACGAACATCATTCCTAGTAGGCCAAAGGTTCAAGGTTCTACAAAGGTACTTAGAGTCATGGATCCCAATGAGAATATTGATCGCTTATGCCAAAAGCTTGACGGTTGTCAATATCCTTAATAGAATATACTCCAAGCGAGGTTTTCATATCGACCCTTACTAGAAAAGCTTCTTGGTGGCCCATATTACTCAACCTCATCCTATATCATGTTTACTCTCAAGACTCGGGTAAAAAGTATTTCCCTCAAGGTATCCATTTCATACCATAACATAATGGAGCCACATAAGATAAGATATAAATACTCAAAGCAAAAGGAAATAAATAAAGCAAGTAAAGCGGAAATATAAACACCCAAACATGCGAAGAAGGCAACCTAGACTAGGCTCAACTCGCTTAGGGAGAGAAACCCCAACAAAGTCCTTAGCTGTCGCTATGCAAAAAATGCACAGAGTCGCCACCGATCTTTATTTATTCTGGAGAAAGAGAAAATATCGATAAAACCCTCTAAAGGTGAAGAACATGGTCTCACAACCAAATTTGAGTTCGAAAGTCGGTTACGCAAGGGGAAGGTATTAGCATCCCTCACATGTTTCGTATTCAACGAGAACCATTTTGCTTGTTCTTTTTGTGTGGATGAGTGCTTTTATCGAAAGGTTACTTGCGAAAAGGAAAAACAGTTTATAATTAGTGGGCTCACAGAGGATTGAGGGCCTTGTGCCTACGTATCATCATAGTGCAATGAGGAAATAAAAGCTTCGTAGTTCGTGGAACTAAGGAAAAATGTTATTCTACGTATCCTCTCTTTTTTTAAAGTCGTGATGCCCTAAGATTCACCGCTCCACCGCGGAGGAGCTCTCCACCAACAACATCCACATGTCTAGATGTGTTTCATCCTCTCCTATTCGAATCTCACAATATTTTATCTCAATTCTTACTCTAAACCACGAGTCGCAACAAAATTGGACGATATCAACATTTATCAAATCTCATCGGCAAGATTTAAGCTGAGACTAGAATACCTGTGAGATGAAGGAGATGATGATGTGGACAAATGTCTTGGGTGAGAAACTTCAATTCAAACTTCTCTTTCTCTACTTCTCCGCGCAATTCCTTACTCGGTTGTTATTGTTCCTTGCTGCAAATTGTTATTGAATTTTGTTTTACATCTTGATTCTATGGTTGTGGATTCTTTCTGCGTGAACCTTGCGAGTGGTGTATGAATTGTTAAATTGTTGTGGCAGGTTGTTGATTTGATGAAGCAGTTTCTTGAATTGATGAAGGTTGAAAAAGTTTTTGGTGCTTGAAGGTTAATGGTGAAGTGAAGATTGAGGCTGGAGATTCGTGAGCAGAGAGAAAGAGAAGATGAAAAACAATGGAAAGAATGTGGAAATGAAAAAATCTAAAGATGAAGTGAGTTGTGTGAAGAGTGAAGAAGAAGACTCAATTATACATGACTCAGATGATTTTATAGAGACTTCATTGAGGGTAGTTTAGGATTTTTAGACTGAGTTTGTTAGAGTTTGTTGAGATCCTCCTTTGAAATTCTGTTACTCTCAATTTCTATATGGTTAGGAATTGATGAAACTTGTTGATGTATCATGAATGTTGTGATTTATTCCATTTCTACAGAGGCTCGCCTGCGTTTAGTATCATGTTTTGGCTACTTCATATGTTTTGTTGCATATAGACTTGCTTGTGATTTTGCCTTTTTTCTCTTGGAGAATTATTTTCTTTTTTTTGTTTGCAACTATTGTCTCATGGAACTTGGGCCTGTATTTGCACCCCTTTTTTGGCCTTTGAATTGTTTTTTCACATGGACTAAAACAATCCAAGATAACTTGCTCCTCTTAGGCAACTGTACACTTGACCCACTAAGTTGAGAACCTTGACTATAATAAGTCCAAAAAGTATTCGATCATGGAGCAAGAAATCCATACACTGAGCATATAAAGTTAACCAGTTAAATCCAATGTTATTAAACCTTGGACTTGAATATGAACTTGAATGAATTATGATCTTGCACTGCCATATCTTGAATCCAACCAAATATCCAATAAACTTAAATATGAAGCCCATAAAATAAATTGGTCATTTTAAGTCTTAAATTCCACCTCACAAAATGATCAAAAGTAATCACCAAATCCGTTAGGAACCCAAAGAACCAAAAGTCAATGTGTTTAGGCATGCCATGAGTTTGGATCTTAATGGAATCCTAACTCGTTGTTGGCGATTAAAACTTTGAATCCCTGAAGCTTAATGCAAATGGTGAAAATGAACGAGATGATGGTGATGAATATGTAGATGAATGCAGCAATAGGTCAGATAAGAAGTGAAAAAGTTAGGACAAATTTTTAGGGTATGACAGGGTGACTATACCATTTGTTAGATTTGTTCATAACTTTATGATTTTTACCGATATATAAATCAAGAACAAAACTCTAAATAATCCCTATGAATCAAACATGCAATCGACTTGCATCCCTTAAACCCACAATAAAATTCAATTAGAGAATGATATTGAAAGCGTACTTGAGTTTGCCATTGAAATCGTTGAAGTTTTGCAGATATATGATCTTCTGATTTGTAGAGTTTCTTAAGGTTTTTTGAATATCTTCGGATGGTTATGAAAAAATAATCTTGATAAGTCGTGTATTTCGTACCCATATAAATAAGCACCTCTTGTTAAATAATGACCAAATACATGTAATATTATATCGACTATCCAAAAATTCTAACAAGTATTGCTTGTACCAGAAAAACTACTACTGGATAAATAGATTAAACAATGCGCTTATGCCCTAGTTATCATCAGCGTTTCAAATTCAAGAAACAAGAAACATGGCCTCTTCCAGTAGCAGCACACAACCACAAGTTCATCATCAACCTCTTCACATTCAGGTCTTCTTCACTTTTTCTCTAAACAGCTTATTGTTTCTCAAAACCGATTCTTTTCCATTTCTGATACGTTATAGCGCCGCCATTGTTTCAAGTGCAGGCACAAGATCCAAGCATTACAAACGCAACAGTTGCAGGACAAGCAGTGAAATGGATTTTCCAGATTCTTTTCTACTTGCAACTGCTCTTGATTTCTGCCTTGGTGATTTTCATCACCAGGTATGATCGTACCTCAGACTCTTCAACAACCCACCATTTCCACCCTCACAAATGGTACCCTCCACTTTTAGCATCAACACTATGTGCAGCAATTCTTGGTTTCACATGGCATTGTATCATTGCATGTTACCCGAAAGAGGCAGTCTGGGAACCATTTTGGTGGAGTCCCCTGTTAACATTGCTAATGGCTTTTATGTTTATGGTAATAGGTACTCCAGGGAGTTGGATACCCGGATTAGGATGTTTCTTATTTTCTGATTTACAATCAAAGTATGTAGGCCGAGTCATTCGCAGTAACATGATCAAACACACAGCCGAAATATATCAAGATTTAATAGATTTTATTCCTGCTAAAACCAAGTGCTTGGCATTCTTATCAATCACCGTCGGTACCCTTTACTGCTGTTTTCTGGTGTATGGAATTGGAGGCGCAAGAAGAACTGTACAAGCAGACTTATACATCTTACTGATCATTCTCAGCCTTGGATGGACTATGCAGGTTATGAACAATGCAATGCAAGTCACAATTTCATGGGTCCAGTATACTCATTTTACCGATCATGTCATCACGAACATTAGAGCTGCATTTCGTGACACAATCAAACACTCAATTGGAAGTGTTTCTCTAGCCTCCATTCTCCTCCCAGTCATCAAACTCATCCAGGAATTTGCACGATTATTAAATCTATATCATTGTGAAGATGATCGTTCATGCGTGATGAAACTTGCCGCGCATCTTATGACTTGGGGGAATATATGGGGTTTCGTGCACGTTGGAGCTTATCGCAAAGGATTTGTGCAAGCCTCTTCCGATACTTGGGGGATGTTCATGAGTAGAGCTGGATTACAGGAACTGATAGATTTGGATATCACTGGTGCATTCTGTTTCCTGAGTGGTGTTGCAGTAGGTGCAATCTGTTGTCTTGTGTGTGGAATTTGGAGTGTCATAGTGTATAAGGACTATGCCACAGAACTATCCATATATGCTTTTTTCATTGGCTATTTCATTGTAAGAACTTAGTTACAATTATTGGATACAAACTATCTTTTGTATATTACTTGTGTGGCTAACATAAAACATTGTTGAAATGTGTGTTTGCAGTGTAGGTTAGCAATTGCATGGCCACAAGCTTCTGTTTCAGCTTACTATGTAGCCTACGCGCAGAATCCAGAGAACTTTCCATTTGAATCAACTATTGAAGAACGGTTGAACCAGCTTTGCATAGCTTCACAAAGACCCAGTAACCAGAGAGGGAGGCAATTCAGGAGGAGGTTCGCCTACCGAACTGTACGAAAAGAACATTAAAGCAAGAAGAACATATCATCCCTTAGATAATATTTGATAGGACACTTTACTACTTGACTTACTTTTGATGTATTCTTCAAATATGATAAACTCTCTGATAATGTTGGTACTTTACTCATCTATATGAATAGAGATGAAACATGGTTTTTTGATGTTGAACAAAGTTTTCTTTGATTTTTAGATATCATATATACGGTTGAAGCATAGTTTCTGTATTTAGATGTTCAAATAGCACAGAGTTGAAGCATGATCGGATACTAGGTTTTGAGGTAAGTAACACTAATTCAATGAATTGGCCGTTTCGACAATCAAACTATAAGTAACTTTCATGTAAATTTATTTAAGGTAATCAATCTGTATGACAAAAGAATATTGCGAGTTTACATAATTAAGAACTTAAGACTGATATGGTTTGTAATTGTAGAAATCCTTGACATAAACAAAATTGAAAATGATTATAACTTACAAGCAATACCAACACAAACATTACATATTGGTGGTACAACAGAATTCCAAAAAGTCAGACATAGATCATTTGTGTCCCAAATGACCTCGTCCCCCGCATTCTGTACACATTATATTGCATTCTTTTGAAAGTACTGTATATCATCATTATGTATCAACCAACTTAAGGACGATGATCCAACCGCTTTGTTTTTCGAGAGGTCCAATAATATCAAATTATATTGATATGAGAGAAAACTAGGAATCATACTTCCTTTGTCCATGTTTAGGTTGCAATTTCGGAGAACGAGTGATTTCAGTTGAAATTTGGGAAACCACTTTGTTTTTTCAGTTTCAATGTGAGCTCCATTGCTCTGTGATGAAATATATAGATCCTGAAGTTGGGAAATCTTGGAGAAAAGTTATGCAGGAACTGATAAGGCAAAGGTGGTGAGGTTACAAACTCACAAAAGAAAGGTGGAATTAGTTCAAATGGAGGAGAAGGAAACCATTGGTAAATTTACTATGTGAATTGCAAGATTGGTGAACCAAGTAAAGGTGTGAGGAGAAACGATCACAGAGCAGTATGTTATTGCGAAAATCTTGTGTTCTTTGACGACAAAATTTAAAAATGTAGTAGTTGCGATTGAAGAATCGAAGGATCTTGCGACAAAGGAAGCAAGGAGGAGCTACAAAGCTCTATTAAAGCTTGTTCTGATGCGAAACTAAAAATTGTGATGTTTGCATAAACTACGGCAAAACAGAGCTTCCAATGTTCTTTGCGTATGCAGTATCGTGGATTGAAGGTTACGAATCACAATGATTTTTGAACCTGAGGAATCGGTGCTGATACGACACTGATAACCAGTGTTTCTATCTTCGATGTGGTAAACCTAAAAGAGAGGTACCTGCATTGTTAAAACTCCATCTCCCAAGTCAGATAGAATTCAAGATAGGTGATAGTGATTGTAGAGATTAGAGATTGTGTGTGTACCTTAGAACCCCTTACAAAGATATTCATACCTTGGGCCTAGTAGAATAGGAAAGGTAATGAGCCTCGTGCCATTAAGCCTTCAATCGATTAGGATTAATGGAACTCAGATATTTGGTCGACGCGAATCTAAGGGTCCTGTATCTTCATTGACACAGACCGGTAGGTTCCAGTCTTTGGTCGGCACAGAACAGTTTCTCCCAAGACTCGTCGGAAATTTTGATGTCGGGGGAGTCTTTTAGCAGTAGTGGTTGGCCTTAAAGGATTTTATCCAGGTGTCGGTTGGCATACGTCTCTTTGATTTTGCAAAAATGTGATGCGAATCTGAACATTGAATACAGTCTTGTCATTGAAGAGTTTCGTCGTTTTTCTCTGACGTGTAATTTGAAAAGGTATGGGTTGACGTGATGTAGCTTTCTGTGTACTTAAGTACACTCGAGTGCAGTTGTTTTCCCCCAGATAAAATCTGACCGTCGATCTGCCTGATAGCAAGGGAAGGGTTATAATTAATACCAATTTTCCTTCCTACCAGGGGTACATTTGAAAAATCCCCACAACTGTGAATGATTTCTATACCCAGTAGTCTCTGATCAAACCATACAATATTCTCAAAAGCCAACCCCATTAGCCTTTTAGACCACTTCAAGGAATATTTTATATCAACAAAAGCACCGGACCGAGGAAGATGATTCATAAACCATTTGGATAGGAGTGGCGTACAACAAGTTGCAAGTCCTCCTCTCCTCTTCTCATTCTTAAAGTGCATGGAGTGGTACAAATTACCAAGAAGAGTTGGAACCGGATTCTTCATGATGAAGATGCGAACAACGTTCATAACAAAAAAATCAGCCACATTAGGGAATAAAACAATCCCATAGACACATAAAGCCAGAACAACATTGAAAACAGTCCAACTGTCAGCTTCAGCAAACCTTTGAGCTTCACCCACCAAGAAAATCAGATGGAATCCATGGAAACCTCCTTTGCTATCCATATTACCTACTAAATATGACTTACTCAAATAAAGAGAAGTAGCAACATCATCAAGCTTGGGATTCTCCTTGGAACTAAAGAAAGGTGCCATATCCTTAATTGGAACTCCCAGAATAAGCGTAAACTCCTCCAGTGTTGGAACCAACTGGTAATTTGAAAAGGTAAAACACATCAAGGGAGGGTCATAGAATTGCAGAAGAGTATGGATGGCATCATGTTCATACTTGCTGATAGTGTGGAGAGTATTCAATATCCTCCCATAGTCATTTCTAAAATCTTCCAAGACATTAGAACTTGCTAGAGCAACCAACTCATGAAGTAAACTCAAAACCGGTGTTGGAAACTTTTAAGCCACATTCTTCTTCCGACCAATGTCCATCTCTGTAGATCTTGAACAACTAGAATCAAGGATAAGATGCAAACCCTGGAAATAAACAAACATGAATGTTAGGATACATGTATGATGTTATGTAAATGCAGACATGGGATCAAGGTTTCCATATATTTTGAACAATTGTTGTGCTGCTGACTAGATAGGTTCAAAGTTCTGCTCTGAACAGAATACCAGGTTCATAAGTCTATACTGATAAGAAAACCAGAAAACCAGGCAGGTTGAAAGTCAAGGTTTCATACAAAACCCATCCCTTCTCACATGTGGGTTCTAGTCTTGGACAAGGCATCCTAACAGGTCCTCAGCATCACGGGCTCTAAGATCGAGAAATGATAATACGATCACAGTTTCTGATTTAGCATTATCACCCATCAAGGAGGCCTCAACTGACTTCCCATAAACAGTCTCCAAAGTCATAAGCCCTTTATGGAAACACCCTGTCATATGCATAAGACGTGTAGGGCAGAATATCTCCCAATAAACCCTCATCTGAATGTGGGTCTCGTGTCAACTAAAAGTAACAAGACGTTATGCAAGCCATACGACTATCCACTATAATCCTATGTATGTACTCAATCTTGGGTAGTTGGCTTATCTCTCGCAGAACAATCACACCCAATAGCACAACAGCAGCAGAATAGTATGATAACAGTAATCAAATTCAATAAATGCAAGAAAATGCAATAATGTACAAGAGATAAAGCAAATAAAAGCACAAAGATAAACACCGCATACAAGATTCATACAAGCGTTAGGATTGACTCACATAGGAAACTAAAGTCCCCGACAGAATTCCCAGTTGTCACAACTGCAAAAAACAACCGGCGGAAAAACAGAGTCAACGTAGTTCGGAGGAGTACGGATGAAAGGGGGGATTATGCTTTCCAAGACTTTGTCGTCTTGTGCCTATGTATCTTCATTTGGACGAGAATGAAGAAATTAGAGCGTTCGTAGTTCGTGGTACTATGGGTTGATGGGTGTTTTATATGGACGATGCTAACGTTCGCGTTCCAGCAGTTAGGATCGATGCTTATTTATGGTAGAACGGAAATAACATCCCCTTTCTAAAATAGATTTGACGGAAACCCCGAAGGACAAAATGGTTTCCAGTTTGTTTGAGAGTTTTAAAGAAGTGGATTGACTTTGTTTGAGATGCCTATTGCACTAAAGTCTATGGCACAAGATCGAATGCTTCGCAAGATCAACCCAAGACGGGATGTGTACAAAGCACTCTAGACAAGGTAAGGAGATACTCTCGCTTATCACTTCCCATGTACTTAAGGCTCGTAGGACACAATACTTATCGTATTTATTGCATGTTGTCATGCAATATGGCCCTATAGTTAAGGATGAGAAAGGGAAATCTACCTAATAATGTCATACAAAATATGGACCTAAGATTGAGGTCAAAAGGGAGCTAACCTAATATTTTCATGCAAAGGATTGAAAGCCTAATGTCTATCCTACTCCAAACTTAATCAGAAGTTAAGTTGGACTAGAAGCCTTAAGGGAGCATGTGATCAAACACAAGTAAACATTAAACAACTCAATCACAAACTACAACAAGGAATCCATAACCCAAAAGAGGAGAAAATATATGAAGAGAAGAAAGATGTCAAAGCAACACAAGGTAAAAAGAATCAACCAAGATTTCTCAAGTGTCACACATTAAAGCTAAAGTCAAAGCATGCTTATCATGTGAATCAAAATATCAAAGATGGATAAAGCTTATAATTAACACACATATTCCAATCAACACAAATTATGATCAAAGAATTCACACGTCAAAGTTCAAGAAGATAGGCAATGACAATCATAGAGATGCACAAGCAAACATATCTTAAATACATATCAAACATCATTAATCAACATGCAAAGACAAAAGGGATCAAGAAATACAAGACTCAAACAAGGTCATAAGCTACATCATATCATGATCAACTGATTTCAAAGATGAAGAAAGAAACACAATGTCACATTCAACATGAATCACACCAAAGGCTAACCAATTGTCAACAATTAACTCATCAAAACCAAACACTGAATATCAATCAATGAAATTATGGCATGAATCCAAGAAGGGGCAGTAGCATATCCAAACATTCCAATTCAAAATCAATTCCTAGATATCAAGAAAGTTCAAGAGGAATCACATTCAAAACATGCATCAACTACTAGACA